CAGAAGTTGTGAATGCTCCAACACTGGAAGTTTTTAAGAAGATGTTGGATAGCCATGTGTCCGAAACGGTATAAGGTTTCCTGCCTAGGAAGGGGGTTGGACTAGAAGACCTCCAAGGTCCCTTCCAACTCTGCTCCTCTATTCTATTCTATGGCTGTTTTAATGGAAGTTTAACCTACTTTAAAGTATTTTGAGTGTGACAGGTAAAATGAAATAAAATATAAATTGATAAATAAGTGGAAGCTTTCTGGATGACTGGACTAGTCACTCAATATAACTGGTCAAGTGGGATATATTAACATGTCAACATTAAAGAAGCAACCATCTTTTTATTTAATTATTCATTCTGCTGTTTTTAAATCATTGCCCAGTGTAATAACTCTGGGAGGCTAACAAGGCATGAAAACAAAAACATGTGTATAAACAGTAAAAAGAACAGTAAAAAACACCAGGTAAAAACTATCAACTCCTCAACCAATGCAGATGAAAACCAATTTGTCAAACAACAGTGGGTAGAAACAAAAAATATTTCTGAAACATTTCATAGTGCTTGCTCCAATGAATTTTGACTTGGGACAAGGTTTGATTTTAATGCTAACATGTTTCCTTCATCTCTGCTTTTATTTTATATGTGTTCAAGGGAACTTCTATAAGTTATAGACTAATGAATTGTATCATTACACTTCAAAAATAATGGTGTTTTCCCCCTTAAAGTGCTTCACTAAAAACAACCCCAATATATTTGTTAAAAATGCAACAGCTCAAAAACCGAGTGTAAGCATTTATAGCTCCATTTGGGCTAAAAATAGAAGACAAGGATGAGGTTCAGTTAGGGATTGAGGGATGCTAGATGTCCTCATTTTAGAGAGGAAATAAAAAATAGCAAATACCATGACCATATAGATTCCTATCTAGTAAGTTTCTATAATGATTTCAAATTTATCATGGCAAGTTTACACATCAAAATGAGATGTGAACTTTCTGTATGCAAGATTTCCTTCTCAGCAACTGTGAAGGATCTTAGTGATAATTTTTAGCATTTACAAGACAGGATATTTCACAAAGCAGATGAAATAACTACAGTGATATGAATTTAAATAATTTAAAAAAAGTCTTACAAGGGATGTACACAATTCAATATTCAAGAAGTATTAAAGCTGAAAGAAGGACACAGAACATAGACTAAAGAATAATAGGGTTGGTGGGGGGCTTGGATGTCTTCTAATCTAACCCCCTGCCCAAGCAGGAGACCCTATATCTTTCTGGACAAATGGATGTGTTAGGGTTCAAGATAGCATCCTCATTCAAATAAAAGTCCGAGACTAGAAATTCCTCAAAGTTCCAATTTATTAGAGAAGCCATGTTGGCACATTTGGGAAACCTGAATCTGAAAGCTTCCAGGTTTTCCTCACCCAATCGAAAGTCCAAGACCCTGCCCCAGCATGTCCATCACATGGCCCAATCAGTCACAAAGGAAGATTTCTCTCATCCATGTCAGTCCAGTGCAGGGACAAGATGACCCTGACGCTCTGAGAAGGAATGTTATTATGGCTACACATCTCCCATGCTCCATACAATCCCCCCTCCCAGTTTCCCATAGTAGAATATGCCTGAATATGTGGTAGGCTTGAGGCCCAATACAAAGATGGCTTCCAAGCCTGACAGGCTGTCTAATCTCTCCTTAAAAACCTCCAATGATGAAGCACCCAGCTGGAAATGACTGGAGTCTCAAGAATTAACAAACAGGAACAGACTTTAGAAGTCTTGATTGATTAACTGATTAACTGCCACAAAGTCATTCTTAACTTTTAGGCACACCATAGATCAGTGCTGGCTAACCCGTTTGGTGTCAAGTGCCCAAAGCGCAAATCCCCAAAATGCAATGTGAGCATTCCCTCTTGCATGTGCCCAACCCCTGTACATGCACTCTCCCCCACCCCGTGTATGCACGCATGTCCCCCCTGCATTTACCATTCCCCCTCCTTTGCCAATTTGTGGCTTCCAGGTTGGTGCAGGAGGCTTTCCAGGCCCAAAAGGGGGCATGGGGGAGCCTCACGTGCCCCCCGGTGCCCCGTTTTGGCTTTCACATTGGTGCTGGAGGGCTTCCAGGCCCATAATAGGTCATGGGGGGTGCACACATGCACGAACCCCCAAAATGCAATGCAAGTGGCCCTTGCACATGTCCCCCCCCGCATGTGTGGCAGAGACCCAAAGGCCAACTGGCTGGCTGGAGGCATGCGCGCATTTGCAGTGGAGCTGGGCTGGGGCAACAGCTGGTATGCCTGCAGAGAGGGCTCTGCATGCCACCTGTGGCACGTGTGCCATAGGTTCGCTATCAAGGCCATATTTTTTTTTCTAAGATAATCTTCCCCTAACCCAATTCTTCAGCTCTTCCAATAATGGCACTCATGGCTAGTGTAACTATCCACTTTGCTCCTATTGTATTCTTCTCTTTCCTTTCACCTTTCTCAGCATTACAGTCTTCCCGAGAGAGCTAGGTCTTCACATACTGTGTCTGAAATAGGTCTTGAGAGTCCAACAAAGATAATTAAACTTAAGATTCGGAAGCATCCCCACAGATTCAAGAAAAGGGAATTAATATTGATGACCATTCCCTTCATGTGCAAGTTACAGCACTATCAGAGGGCATTTCATCCACCAGATAACCTCACAATGGGAGCTTCCAGACAGAGCTAAGCAGTTTCACTATGTCATATTTACAGCAAAATAAGATCCCTTGAGTTCTCTAAGCCTGACTCAATTTTCTGGGTTAAAGCTTTCTACTCATTTTCTTTCTCTCAAGTTGATGGTCCCACTGCCAGTTGATAAAACTTTGATAGAGTTGGAATCATGTTCCATTCTCTGCGATTCCCACAGGGATGGAAAGAAAGCACACCATAATTGAAAGTTCAGAGTTCATGAACGGCTATCTCAGATTTGTTGTGTTTTGTTCCATTTATTTTTAAAATGATGTTCCTGGTTTTCTGTGGTTTCCATATCCAGATGATTGCTTGAAAAAATCCCTAAATTAGGTATAATACAAGGAGAAACATCAAAGACTCATATTGTGTAACTGTATTCTTTCCACCATTATTGCATTAGTGCTTTAAACAGATTTCTCTATGTCCCTTGTATCAAAACTATTACGATCCTAAAGTTTCCAATCTTAACTTGCTTTGTTGATGTTTTGCACAATTTCAGTATTCATTCATTCATTCATGTTGTAAACATTTTTTTTTTGCCAAATGAAGAATGTGATGGGGCTTTGATTTTGTGGTTGGTGGGATTTGGTAGTCCTGTGATTTCTTTTCTCTGATTAATCATGATCCAGTTCCCAGCAACATCCAGATATCTCTGAAGTAGCATATCTCTTGCACTATTCTACTACCTCCAGGTGTTTTCTTCACTTTCCACACTTTCCACTTGGAGAGTGGTCACGACTACCTGTTGATCACTGAAAACGGCAGCTTCAGTCAGCCACTGAAACAGTTGACTGGTTCCCACCTGCCTGCTCCTTTTAGCGCTGGCCTCTTTGGGAACTTCTCTGCTCAGATGCGCTTCATCTCGGACTTCTCCATTTCTTATGAAGGCTTCAACATCACTTTTTCAGGTAAGGGCTGGTACTTGGGAAGCAAATAAATACCCTGGGCAGGTCTTCTCTCAGACATGCTCCTTCAAAATCCAAGAAAGGAAACCCTCAACTCCGTTGGTTTAGAGAAAAGGTACTTTTACTGGATATGAAGTGAAAACAGTGAAAGTAAAGCAAGATCTGAGGCTAAACAGCAGGAAATTATACATATCAAAAGTTTACCTAAATCCCTCCCACCAACAACCCCAAGCTAAATGTCCAATCTCCAATCTCCAAGGGTGCCAGGTGAGGTGCACCTTCAGGTGGCCTCATCCAGCTGGTATGCAGAGATGGTTGGCCTTGACCTGACCCAAACACGAGCCTTCAGCATGCACAGAAGATGGTGAGAACAAAACTCCTTCTTCGAGATATCTCCTCCAGCACAATTCTCCCCCCCCAAATATATATAAAAAAACCTACCTCCCCATTGCAATGGCAATCGATAACAAGGAAGTGATATAGAGGCTGACATTTCATCACCAAGAGGTCTCATGAGGCTCCATACCTTGGAGACAAGAAATGTCTTGTCTTGGAGGGACACATTGCAGATACTCAACACTTTAGATAATTAAAAAAAAAACACTGACCAGTCCTTGACCCTCTTTGATTTATGACAATCTTAGTCGTCATAAATCACTATAAATGTTGGACCTACTCTTCTTAACAGCCATTCTGTGACTGTAAGCCATGTGCTGTAGCAAAATTCTTTACGCTTAAAAACTAAAGCAGACGTTTGAGACAGTGGGTAGAATTGACATTTTGACCACATGGCTATCACACTGGGTTTAGTCAGAAAGCAGCAAATAACCAGAAGGCAGACTAATGAGATTATTCCAGGCTCCTCTGTCTAATCCACAAGGATCCTTGCTCTCAACTCACAGCTTATTTTTGATGCTTCTCTCCCCATTAGCAAAGTGTTCTCATAATTCTTTTAAAGAAATAAAGATGACCCTGAAGGCTGTGCCTTCCAATGCAGCATTCCAACTCCATTTTAATTTTAATAGCAAGATTAGCATTTCAAAATATATTGTGTCATGTACAGCAGAGGATCTAATGCTGGATCCAAGAAGTAAAAATTAGGGAAGCTATAGGAAAAGATTGTTTCTATGTTGACTATTTTCTTCAGGATGGGCAGTTTTAAATATATATTTTTAAATGAATGGGTAACAATTTGTTCCAATCTAGGGCATGTTTTAGTATTTTTATTTTCTATCTTGATTGGTAGCAGATAATAATAATAAGCAATTGCAGCCCTACGATCCTCAATATGCGTATAATGGTCTGGTCAGCCATTGCATTATTTGTTTGCCAGTTTTTAAAATTGTGATTGTAATCTATATATATAAAAGCGAAATATCACTCATGCATCATCACAAAATGTCCAGAACTGTAAAGCCTACAAATTTGAAATTTGGCACACATGTTCCTCCTGGCTTCTAGGTGCTCGCTAAGAAATGATTTTTCAAAATGACCATCAGATCATTAGTATTTCTTATATTATTACTAACACGCTCTGATGCTAAGATGTTAGATGTTCTACTCCTCCTCCCCACTTGAAAATAATTCTATTCCAACTGCCACTTGGGAGTGGCCAGCACGTGACTCATCTGGCCTGCAGGCTGGGAGTTTAGACATTCTACTCCCCCTCCCCACCTGAAAAACACACTGATGCTAAGGAGTTAGACTGAGGGAGAGAAGGGGATAAGATAGGAGAGTCCTCTGTGGGGCAAGCCTGATGGATAGAAGGGGATTGGAGAGGATCGATGGGGCCAGCCTGAG